ATTGCAAATAAAAGTGTTTTTGCAAAATATTTATACTTTGTATATATTTTATATAATTTATCATAATAATTAATAAATATTCAAAATGTTCAATTTTATTTGTTTATTTTTATCAAGTACAACTTTACAAATAAAAGAAAAAACTTTAAATTGTACCATTATTTTATATATATATCGAGTAAAAAAAAAGGTCAAGTATGCATTACAAATCAACCTTTGTACTTTAAGGTTGTTCTTTAGCTCAAGGAAATACAAAAGTAAGAGAAAACAGTTTAAAAAAAAATCAAGACAAAATCAGACAAAAAAAAAAGATTTATTTTATGCCTGATTAGAATTTGTCAAACTTTTAAAAATATATGCTAAATATATTTTTGACACAAGTTTAAAACAAACTATAATAAAAAGATTCAAAAGAATTTTTATTTAAAAGTATTTTTAACAAACCTTTGCATCACATTTTTTGTATTTATCTTAATGGTTTTATCTCCAATTTTAGAAAGTTAGTTAACCTAAAGGTTTAAGGAAATAATTACACCACATTATTTTTATAGTTACTTTTATAAAAAGTTACAAGTAGATTAACTTAGGCTAAGTTATTGTTAAATACTTAATCAAAAAACAATAAAAAAACTGCAAAAAGTTATGGTTTGAAACAACCCATCCCTCCATACCTCACCCAAGAGTCATTTAAACTGTTATCATAATCACTAAATTACTGCTGCAAGTTCATTCATAGAATTTTAGAACTATTTGTCATGATATTACTTTAATTACTGGAAAGAGCTTTTACTAACATCTCCTTCTAACAATAAAGATATATCAGAAAGACAAAAGAACCAAACATTAATTAATTTCTAAAAGCGTTGAAAAACAAGAACAAAACATTTATAAAATAAAACGTTATTCATAAATTAAATTAAATGTATTAATTTAGCAATCAATAAAATGTGTAAATCACTGAAGCATAGAAAAAAATGTTCAGAATCTTTTCTTCCTAAATCAACTTGCAGACAGACAGTTAATACCTTGAGCTACAGTATGTGGAGTATGCATAAAAATTGTTTTCTGTTTCTTTTTTTGCGTTACAGGAGTAGGTACTTGTTTACTATTCTGTTGGTTATTATGTTTTCTCTTGCATAAGCATAGTAGTGGTTCCTATAAAAATTAATATCAAAATAAAACTAATAATACTTGAATTAA